TATAAATTTGAATTTGTATTTGATTTGATTTTCAAATCAAATATTCAAATGTCAAATCGAATTGCGGAACCCTAATAGAAAGTATCAAAAAAATAGCTACAATGTAATGAGAATGATCATCATTCTCATTGGTATTATACTGAATGTTATCAATGTACCAATTCATATGGAAACTACATATCTTTACCAACAGAACAAACCATTTGCCAATGTAATGAGCATGAATATTATAAATATCTAAATATGACAGCTAATGAAGAGGAAGCAGAAAATGAACAACTACTTGAATAAGTAGAAGATAATAGTGAATCAGAATATAACTTTAGCAAAGAAGAAATTGAATCCATTTTCGATGGAAAAGAACAAGATTGAAGATAGGACTTGCACAATATTTTCTTAAAAGCTGCTGAATTTATGTAAACTACTATTAAACGAATGAATGGTAACAAACTTGAAGAATTTGCTCAAGAGTATTCTGTTAATTATACCCTTTGTGAAATAATTATTACCACTAACTTAGATTTTGAATGTATTGTGAGTTATAATCTTAGACAAATATATTCTGAAATGGTATTTGAAACTTTGATCAATGAAGTATTCTAGGACATATCCGAAGAAGTACAATGAAATGATGAAGCATGTCTTACAGCAGTTAAATTATTAAAACCAATTAAGAATCTTCAAACACGTGATTGGACTGAGAATGAATTAGATGAAATATTTGGAATATTCGCATCTATTATTACCCTATTTATTCATCCAACTTTAATGAAACTCGTAGCAGAGTTAGCATTCCAGATTATTAGTTTATTATTTTATTCTATCATTTATTAGTTTTAAAATAGTCAATTTCAAAATTATTTATATATTTTTTTATTTTTATTTTAAAGAGTTAACACTTACAGTCAGACCTCTATATACTGATATTCTATATACTAATATACTATTAAAAACTTTATATACTGATAAGATTTTATTTACCCACTATATTTGAGGTTATATAAATATCAGTATAATTTGATATAATGATATTTTAAAAAATTTTCTATATGTCCTGACATATTATTATATAGAAGTTTGATTGTATTTGAATAGCAATTATTGAGTAAAAGTCTTAACGTTTGAAATTTTTAACTAAGTGAAAGCGAAACTGTCAACAATGTGATTGGTAGCTTAAGTTAAATAAAATGGAAGAAAATCGATATAACCAGTTGAAAGAATAATTTAACTATTTCAGTATTACTGAGTGATAAAAAATTAGCAAATCAGATTCAACGACAATCAAAACATTTTGTGATTTTAGAAAATCAATTATTTAAGAAAAACAAAAAAAGCAAAGAAAACTTTCTTAAGGTTTTAAAAATTCATAAAATAAAAACAGTTCTTTATGTGACACACAATCACCTAACTGGAGAATACTTAAGAATCGAAAAGGTCTTTGAAAAATTAGAGAAAACTATTATTAGCTGCAAATGTTCGAAGACATTAGGAACTATATTAAAGGATGTGACTCTTGTCAAAAAAAAGGGAAGCCTTCAAAGAAAACGTTATTACATCTTATACCAGTTGGAAAACCTTTTGAGAAAATTGGAATAGATTCATAGGACCTTTACCACTTACGAATAATGGAAATAAATACATAATCATAGCAACTGATTATTTAACCAAATAACCTAAAGCAAGTGCAAAACCTGCAGCTGATACAAACACAATTGTAGAATTAATTTATGAAAATATAATATGTTGACATAGATGTCTAAAATATATATTTTCTGATTGAGGATCACATTTTCGAAATAAAGTAGTAGACGGATTTAAGCATTTATTATCTACATTTTATCATTCTTAAACTAATGGATTAGTTGAGAAATTTAATAAAACCTTGTGTGAATCTATAGCAAAGACAACAAAAGATTTGTAAGAATGGGATACTATTATAAATTCAGTATTATTTGCTTATCAAACTGCAAAAAATTCTACTACTAAGTATACATCATTTTATTTGACTTATGAAAGAAAAGCGAGACTTCCAATTACCATTTTTGAAAATGAAACTTTAGAATCAAATTTAGAAGATTTAGAAATACATCGATAGAAAGCAAAAGAAAATGTTACAAAAGCATAGGAAAATTAAAAGAGACAACATGATTTGAAAATAAAGAAATCTATAGAATATTAAATAAGAGATAAAGTCCTATTATATGAAGTTGCAAAAGAAAGACTTGGACTGGAAAATTAGAAGATAAATGGAAAAGACCATTTTATATTCATAACAAATTGTTGAATGAGGTTTATAAGTTAAGATCTACAGATATATGAATTCTTAAAACACCAATCAACGCAAGTTTATTAAAGATTTATAACGATCGACAAAATTGAAATCCTATGATTTATTTGGAATAAATACTGTCAAAAGTATAAAAGAATCTGAAATTCCTTTTGTTAAAACCTTAAATTTTGCAAAATAAGTTTTAAAAATTTCTAACAAATAAATCAGATCATCAACAAATACAAATCTGATGTTAAAAAAGTTGAAAATGCAAGACATATAATCAAAGAAAATGAAGCCAAACTTCTTTCAATCATACTCGACTTTTGGGAAAAAACTAATTCTGAAGAATTAATCTTTATAATAGATGAAGTTTATCAAGAGAACATTGAAATGGAACTCGTTAAAAGTGAAATTTTTAAAGAGCTTACTAGGAAAAGAAAAATGCAAAAGAAGTATACTCAAGAACTTGGAATTACTCCATTGGTTTTATCCAAACGTATTAAAGAAGAAAGAAAGATTTTTCGACAGAGCTTAAATCAAAGAAGAGGGAAATATAATAGTGTAAAATGTTGGCTAAAATTTGATTACAAATCCAATATCAATTAAATGTCATTGTTTATCATCTCATCAATCCTGATGTTAACTTTATATCCTATAATCAATATGAAACATTGTAGATCCAGATGTCAATTTTATTTCTAGTATAACAGATAACTTTATTGACATGATCATCTTTGCTAATCAATTTTGTCAACTTTATTTCCTTGACAATGTCATTTATTTTTCATAGATATATCTAGTTTGGTTTATTTTATAATTATCAAACATGTATAAATATCACTGTATTTTTATTAAGTCTTGATACCTTACGAGATAGAGAACTTACAATTTATTATATTATTAATAAAACGTATAATTAACCAAGTTAAAACTTATCCTTCACAACCCTTTTAACCTGTGTATATATTATTATTATTTATTAACTTTGCGTGGTATTATATTGATTCGTTGTATTGACTTAAGATATAATTACTAAAACGTAATCTCTGAAATATCCAGAAGTTACTCATGTGTAATTGAGAATAATTTTTGACATTTACTACGAATCTTCATTGTGATTCCCTGAGTTTAGTCTTAGCATTATTAATTTTATGAATTTTATTTAAGTTACAAATTGAACGTAACAGCATCATGATAGAAATATTGCAAAACATATAAAGTCAGGTGAATATTTTAATGCTATTCAAATCCAAAAAAGTTTAATTTCTAATGAAAACATTAATATATCTTCAAATACAATTTGGCATTTATTAAAAAGAAAAGGTCTTGTAGCTAGAGTTAAAAAAACTATTACTTTTAAAGAGACATAGAATTGCTTGAAAAAATTTGTCAAAAAATACTGTGATTGGATTATAGAAGATTAAAAAAAGGTGGTGTGATTAGATGAAAATAAATTTATGATTTTTGGTTCAGATGGTAGAGAATAGTGTTGGAAGAATTCAAATTTACTTTTGCAGCCATATATTAAATCAACTGTTAAGTTTGGTGGGGTTCTGTGATGATATAGGGTCGTATAGATGTATTTGATATGGGGTTATACTGTAAAATTAATGGAAGAATGAATGGAGACTTATATTGAGATATTTTGAAAAATAAGTTTCTTGGAACTCTTAACGCATGTAATTTAACTGTAAATGATGTTATTTTCTAACAGAATAATGATCTAAAGTATCTAATAAGATAATTAAATGGTTTGATGACAATCATGTTAAGGTTTTGGATTAGTCAGCACAATCGCCAGACTTAAATCCCATTGAACATATGTGAAATGAAGTTGATCATTGATTGTGATAGCTTTCTGATAATATTACTAGTGTAGAAGATTTATGAAATAAGATTCAATTAGTATAGAATCAGATTGATGTTGATGTTTATTTAAAATTAATTAATATAATGCTATAATGTGTTAAAGATGTTCTTAAGGCTGATAGAGGATATACAAAGTGATGATTGGATTTTTAAAAAAATTCAAATAGAATTAGTTAGAAATTTTATTGAAAAATATGTAATCAAAAAAATTTTTTTGATATATGGGAGGTTTGCTAGGAAAATGGGGCTCTGAGACTAAAAAAATTTTTTGAATAAATTAAAAAATCAAAATAAACAAAAAACTAGCTTTAAATTTGAGACGATCTATTTTTAGGTCATATGATATATATAATATGATATAAATTATTAGCTAAATACTTTTTATGATGTAATTTGTTGATCATTTCCTAAATAGTACATTAAACACGTTTATTATTTCCAAAAATCTATTTCTAGATTTATTAAGTAATAACTTTCAATATTATAATTTTTTTTTTTGAAAAT